ATATATATATGAAAATAACACCTCAGCTAAAATTTTAGATAGTAGTCCTTACTATGAGAAATCTATGCAGAGCTCAGAAAACATTCAAGTTTTTAAGATTTTTTTCAGTATTGCATTAAATCTTACCAGTCATCATTAAGGTAAAGTCAAGCAAATAAGGAGTTTGTAAGTCTGCAATGTTTCTTGCAATTGCATATATAAGCATATACACATTTCCATAAATATATGCTTATTTGGTATGGCTGAGGTGGAAATGAATCTAGGGATAATTCAAGAAGACCATGATCAAAAGCACAGTTGAAATTCTTTAAGTGCAAAGTTAATGAATACAAAATAGAACAGATTCAAATAAACTCTGAGAGCAGAAATCTTAGGCTCCCTGCTCACTGCTTATCCCAGAGAGAAACTGGCTGATGTGCAGGCCCCGCAGTGCCACTCCTGAGGTCACGTGCTGGGGAGAGGAAGGGTTGTCAGGGGACAAGATGAGCTCAGATTTGAAGATGCAGCCCCCGTGTTCCTGTCGAATTTCCAGAATGGGATCACTTCTGATGCTTTGAAATTCACCGTAAAGCTCAGGGGAACAGAACAAGGTGGTGGGAGAGACTAACCTAAGAGAAATAAGCTTCCTTCGTATGTGTCCATTTAACCATTTTGGTTTGACTGCTTTGAACTTGTTTTGCTCATCCACTTTCCTAAGCTGGAAACTTATGGTTAATTATAGAACTTCTTTTTTATCTGAAATATGATTTCACATAATATTTTATTACAGTCTGCCAATTGAAATTAATATTTTCAATGTTATTAAGTTTAATACTACAGACCCATGAGTTACTTAGATGTATACTATTACAAACAACACACATGCACGCACACACAACACACATGTACGCACACACACACACATACACTTCACACATAAATATTTTTAAAATAAGTATTCCTTTTATGACAATTTAAGTTTTTAGGGTCACTGACAAGTTAGTGTAGAGTTTCCCAACATCACTAAGGTGACCCTTTACTCAATATTGACTTCTTACAGTAATTGTATTAGTATCAATCTTTTTTAGAAAGGATACTAAGAAAGAGTAGCCTCTGATGATGAGTAAGGACAGAACACAGGCAAAGAGCACTTTATTCATAAAGATACAAAGCTAATTGCTTTTCTAATTTTGACTCTGTCCTTCTGTGCTTTTTTTGTGGTCTATGAATACACCAGCGTGTAAGCGATACTGAAAGAGTGAAGCCTTAAGTGAAGCTACATTTCTCCACAGTGGCCAGTTTCTACTGCGTAGACATGCACTATGCTGTGGAGGTTTGGACTGGACAAGTGTTTGTGTGAGTGGCTACCTTACTCTACCTAAGTGATATTTTGATTGATTAATTCACTATAGTAAAGAAGTGTTTATAGTTAAAACAGTATTGGTGGATCGGTATTAATTGAAGTTAGTTCTTCATTTGGATCTGTTAGTTTTTATTCAATCTGATTTTTTTTTCCCTTCCAGGATTCCATCCAGGGAGTGCATCATGATTTGTCATTTTGTACCCCTCAGTCTTTTCTTTGTTTATTACAGTTAATCATATGTGTTTTTGGTTTTGTCCATACATGTCTGTCGAAAGAAGGCCACTTCTTGGTTCCCGGCTTCTCAGCCCCTAAATAATCACAAAGAAACAGCATTATTTAAATTACTGCTTGGCCCATTAGCTCTAGCTTCTTATTGGCTAACTATATCTAATTACATCTTAATCCAGCCCATCTCCATTAATCTGTGCATTACCACGAGGTTGTGGCCTACAGCAAAGTTTCAGTATGTCTTTCCCCTGCAACAGCTCCATGGCACCTCCATGACTCTGCTTCCTTTCTCCCAGCATACAGTTTAGTTTTTCCCACCTACCTAAGTTCTCCCCTATCAACAGGCCAAGGCAGTTTCTTTATTCACCAGTGATATTCACAGAATACAGAGGGGAATGCCACATCACATGCCTATCTATCTGCCTTTGCCTAAGTGTGAATGTGTGTGTGTGTGTGTGTGTGTGTGTGTGTGTGTGTGTGTGTGTAGGTGAATATGTATTTGTCTGGAGGCCAGAGTTCAACTTTGGGTGTTGATCCTCAGGAGGTGTTCACCTTGTTTTTTGAGACAGAGTTCTGTTGGAACATAAGGTTCACCAATTAGCTTAGACTGGTTAGCCGGTGGACTCCAGGTCTCCACCTGTTTCAGTAACTTCAGAGCTGGGATTACAGGAAGATGTCACAACATTCATCTTTTACTCATTTATTTTATTATTTCAAATATGGATACTATCTTCGTGTGGGTTCTTTCTCTAGTGTTGGCCTCCTTCTTGTGCCCTTTCTAATCCCTCTCAGATCTGTGGTTAGTTTCTCTTTTTGTCATTTTTATAAGTGTGTGTGTGTGTAATTTGATAAGTCTAACCTGTTGAGTCTATTTAGTGTTACTTCCATGCATATATTTTTAGCACTGACCACTTGGATTGAATCACCTGCTAGGGGCCTTGTCCCTCTCTCTATCAGCAGTCATTAATTGCCCGTAGACTTCCCCTATCCACATAGACATGTCTACTGGCGCTGTCATTGTGCAGGTCTTGTATGGTCAGCCACATTTTTGAGATTTTACTAGTTCAGCTTCCTTGTCATATGCAGAAGGTACTGTCTCATAGCCAACTTCCTGGTCCTCTCACTGTCCCAATTTTTCTGGTTCCTCTCACCTGATGTCCCCTAAGCCTTGTGAGTAGTCCTATGTTGTAGAGCACCCTAAATTTGCTTGTTCTTCTGATTTTGACTAGTTATGGATTTCTGTAATGGTCTCTCCTGCAAAAAGGAGCATCTTTAATGAGAGGTGAGAACTGTACTATCTGTCAATACAAGAATAAGGATTTGGCATGCATTTGAAAATTGTGCCGGCTTAGGAAAGTGACAGTAGAGTGTTCTCTTTAGAGTCCATGACCTTAGTAGCCATGGCTATTTTGTTAGTTTTACAGTATCAGGAATGAATTCCCTCCTACTGGGCAGATTTTCAGTTCAGTTGGATGGGTATTGGTTACTCTCAGGATGTAAGTGCCACTGTAGTACCTTTTGGTACATTTAGCCATTCCTGTCATTGCTACGGTTCATAAATGTCACTGCTGTGGAGGAGTATCGATTGCTTTCCTCCATTGGCAGCTAGCTCAGCTCCTGTTGATCTCATAATAGTCAATGTTTTGGCAGAAAGATCCTGGGACACATTCACTTCAATTCCTCCAACTCTGAGTCCTAAGTGTGTATGGTCTTAAGCAATAGGGTCTCCCCTTTTGTTTCTGGGAGGTAACCAAGGACAACAATAATAGCCTATATTGTTTTGGGAGCCCCTAAGGCTCTGATGACCAACAAATCTAAAGGAAGTTACCAACGCCTGGAACTAGAGGTATTGATGATAATCTGTGACTTTTGTGGGGCTGATTGTCATCACATGTAGCATAATGCCATTTCAACTATAAGCATATGTATGTATACATTTGCATGTGATATGTAATTCTAAATACACATAAAACCACATTGTTCCCTATGGTTTAAAATATTGTTTATATCCCCTCCTATCTCTCTCCCTCTGGACTGCCCTCCCCCTTCCCAGATAAGGATCCCTTCATTTTCTCAATTCCGTTCGTACAGCACTGTTATTCTACTACTACTTTCTCCAATGTTCATGTTTTCTTCCCCTTTTTATTCTCTTTAACTTTCCTGGTATCTGTGGTTGCTTGCATATAAACATTCAGAGCTAGGAAGCACAAATCAGAGCGAATATACACAATTTGGTTTTCTGGGTTTCATTACATTACTCAATAGAATATTTTCTAGTTCTAACTAATTTTTCTTGTAAATGTTATCGTTCATTTTAGAGAAATTCTATTCATATATATGAGTATTCATATATATTCATATTCATATATATATGAGTATATAAATAAATATATACATCATATCATATTTTCCTCATCCATTCATCATTGGAAGGACATTTAGGTTGTTTCTATTTTCTAGATCTTGTGAATAGAGTCACAGTGAACAAAGCTGAGCAATGCCTGTGGAGTTAGAATGTGGACATTTATTCAGTTCCCAAATAAATACACAGAGTCTTAGTTTTTCTTATGAATGCTGGGCCTTTACTTGGCTTGCTTCTAGTCAGCTTTTCTGCAATTATCCCATCTACCTTTTGTCTCTGTGCTTTTATCTTTCTCTATTCTGTATCCCTCTCTACACTTCTTACTCCTTGCTGTGTAGCTGGATGGCCAGCCCCTGATGACGTCCTCTTCTCCTTTGCTCACTCCTCAATCCTCATCCCAGATTTCTTCTCCTATTTAGTCTCTCTGCTTGCAGCCCTACCTATCCTTTCTCCCACCTTCCTTTTGTTTTTTCAGCTCTTCATTAGAGCAGTCGGGTGTTTTAGACAGGAAAAGTAACACAGCTTCACAGAGTTAAACATGGCCAGATGGTGACACTGAAGATTCTTTGGATTTCTCTGAACACGTATCCCAGAGCCCAGGGGAATATGAATATAATGACTATGTTTCATGGAAGCAACGCTCCCATTGCTTTCTTGCCTGTTGCTAACCCTGGCAATGTGACTGCATGTGGCAAATACATACTTTCTGCTTAAAGTCAGGGAGCCTGGGCTTCATGCCAGTCTTTACAGAGACACAGGGAAATACTTGCTGTGTCTCCTGGACTTCTTCCTTGTCCTGGTTCCCTGGAAGGTTGACTGGAGGAATGGAGAGATAAAGAGTGCTCATATGGAGTTTCCCTTAGTTGTACTGTCTAGGAAATCCCATGGAGTACTGAATGGAAGTGATGAGGAGTTGAGTACCTGTGCTCATCCTAGATGGAAGCCTTCTGGTTTTCATGATGATGTATGTTGCTAATTGTGACATTTTCTGAGACACCCTTTGTCAGAGCCGCTTAACTTCTATCCCTATATTGTTGAGTGTTTTTTTCTCAGAAATATGTTTGATGAGGTCAAGTGCTTTGCTCTGTCTGATGGGATGAGTATATTGTGATGCTCACACTCAGTGAAAATGTTGAGTTACCATGGTAAACCCTAGCTGGTTGTACTGTACTGTATTTTACTATGTTAGATATTCAGTTTAATAATATTTTAATGATTTTTAAGTGACTCAATGTTATGAATTGGTCAGTTGTTTTCTTATAATTTATATTTTAATTAGTCTCATCAAAGGAGATGGGACATACTTCCTTTCTATTTCTGTGGGTTTGGGTATATGTGTGTGCACGTCCCTGCGTATGGAAGCTGGACGCCAATATGAGTTGTCTTCCTCAATCACTCTCCATCATATTTGAGACGGGGTCATCCCTGAACTGGAGGCGTGCTGATTTGTCTAGCCTGAGAGGCCTGTGAGTTGCAGAGGTCCTCCTGTCCCTGTCCCTCAGTGCTTGGATTACACACGTACATGCAATGCCTGACGAGTACACGGTACTAGAGATCAAAGTCCTGCTGTTGCACCAAGATCCTCACTGCTGGAGCTGTCCCCCAGCCTCCTCATTTTCAGTTTCTTTTGATGAGCATTGTCTTTTCTCATTTTTCAGTTTAGGAATCATGTGAGCTGATTTTCTTGGTAGTTTTGCCATCACGTGAAGAAGAGTTGATATAACTCAAACTTTTCCTTTGTATTGGATTACAATGATTATAGAACTTTTGAAAACTACCTTTTATCTGCAACATTTTCCCTCTTATTAAAGCATTTGATCATTTTTTAATAATCAGAAGCCCCCAGTGCTAGTCACAGTAAAGGGGAAAAATCTACATAATAGCTATTTGTTAAAACAACTTCAATTTTTATTTGAAAAGCAATAATTATTTATATTATTAACTATTCATGTTACTATTTTCTTTAAATTATGAATATATATTTATTTTGTGCAATTTTCTTTTATAAATATTATTCTGCCACCTGAAAGTGTTTGATATAAGAATTAACCATATGATTTTATTAAGCAGTTATAGGTAAAAATCACAAGAGGAGTTTAGTTTATTTGAAACAAGTGTTAACTTTCTGTGGGGAAGGTATTATTGATATTAAATTATACTGAAGAGTAAACGCACCTCAAAGGTGGTTCATTGCATCAGTGCTCCCCAGTAAATTAAAGATTTGAATTCACAGTGTGTGTTGCTAAATGTCGATGCTTCCACACCCCACCACCTCTGCACACGCACACACATGTGGATCCATTGCACAGATATTGAATGGAAATCTTATTATTGTGTTGAGGGATGAAATTGCTAGGGCCACAACTCATTGCTGTAATAATTTTCTAACCTTTTGTTGAGCAC